CACAGGCGCTCCGGGCAGACGGCGGGCGGGAGCGCCGGGCACCGGGCAGATCGGCAGAGGCTGGGAGACCGCGCGACGGCATGATGTCGGAGCGGGATACCCGTGTCACGGTGTGACGCGGGCGCACGGCGCGGGCATGGTCAGGGTCGCCCGAGGACGGACGGGAGCACGAAGTCACTGCAGGACCTGGCAACTGCACCAGCCCACGCTGTCCACGCAGGGCGCGGTGGACTCCCTGTGTGAGCCGGTCCCCGGGCCAGCGTGCCGGCTGCGGGGTCGCGGCTGGGCGACGAAGGCAGAGGAGAGCAGAGGAAAGAAGACTCAGTGGATGGAATCTTTATCAGAGAAAAAGCGAGAGCCGGAGACCCACCGCGGGATCCGGCAGCTTGCCGGGTTCTGGCAGCGCCCAGAGGTGCCGTCCGCAGGCGTGGATGTTCAAATGAAGAATTGAATGGGCAAAGGCGGGCATCGAGCGGGGAGCGGGCGGTGGGGGACGTGAGGTCCGGCTCCTGGGGGCTGCGAGGCCCAAACACTTTCCCATCTTCCTGGAGCTACACCGAGACACAGGTTGAGTCTGAAGGGCCCAGGGGCGCCCGGCTGCCCCGTCCCCACCCTGGCAGCTGCCTGCTCCAAACTCCGCAGAGGATGGGTTTCACCTGCCGCCTGCGCCACCCGGGCCAGCTGTCCCCCACCGCTACCCTAGCTCCAGCCCTCCTCTGGTCCCTTTCATTTTGGACCCGACGCCCCCTTGATGGGAGCTGGGTGTAGGCCTTGGGACTAACGGCGTAGAGGGGTGAGGGGGCCCTGACAGAGCCTGGGGTGCTCAGGGGCGGGAGGAGACAGTTCCACACAGGAGCGCCTGCCCTGCACAGTGGAGGGTGATGGGCCCCCAACATCGAGGCCAGAGCCCCTCGAGGACCCCAGCAGGAAACCCGATAACTGGGAAGAGAGCCCAGGGTGGTCTGTCGTGTCTGGGGGCTGCCTAGAGCCAGTGTCAGTGGATACTGGTGGGGACACAGGGCTGGGTGTTCAGACCAAGGACAGGCAGGACTCAGGGCCATCCTCCCCAGCCTGGTGGCAAGGTGGGGGTCTAGGCAGCCCCTGCCTCAGTGGGACTGGCCTGCCTTGGCACAGTGGGCAGTGCCCAGGAAGCCCCTTAGCTGGGTGGGCCAGTGGGGTCCTGGGCAAACTGGAGGCCGGTGGGTGGCCGGGGGGTGAGGAGGCTGGGCCATGTGCACCAGGCCCTTCCCCGCTGGTTCCCAGAGGCCTTGCACCAGACGGCTGGCGCATCCTGGACGAGGCTGGCTTTGATGGCCATTGAAGGAGGGTCCCCCAGGCCTGGAGGTCAGCGGGTGTGTGGGGGCAGGGAGAGTCTGCACAGCTGATGTTTAAATTAAAATACTTCCACTCCCTATTTTATTTTGTGACTTTTTGTTTTGAAATAATTTCAGATTTGGAGAAAAATCATGAAAACATAAAGAACTCCCATGTACCCTTCACTGAGATTCCTCAGTGGTTGCTGTTTCAGTCCATTTAGTGTTGCTCCCAAGGAACGCCTGAGGCTGGGCAGCTCATAAAGAAAACTGGCCTGTTTGGCTCATGGTTCTGCAGGCTGTAGAGGAAGCGTGATGACGTCTGCATCTAGCGAGCTTCCACTCACGGCGGGAGGTGAAGGGGAGCTGGCACTTGTCGGCCACATGGCGAGAGAGGCGGCAGGAGGGGGGGCACCAGGCTCTTTTTAACAACAGCTCTCCTGGGAACTAACAGAGCGAGAACTCTCCCACTACCCCCCCTTCCCAGGGTGGACATGATCTGTTCAGAAGGGATCCACTGCCATGATCCGAACACCCACCACCAGGCTTACCCCTGTGAATCCAAAATAAGTGACTGAGGCAAAGTTCTTATCAATGAACCAGAGATCTGTGACTGTTTTTCCAAAAGGGAATTTGGAATTTTCAGCATACAGGCATACAGAAAGGGTAGGGGGTGGTAAGACAAAATGGTTACATTCCTGTGAAAAAAGAAAAAGAGAAAATAATTGGACAAAGAATAGATGAGAATTTATGAAATAATTAGTAAGATGATAGATCTAAATCTAACCATATCAATAAACACATCAAATACAAACGATCTAAACACCCCCATTAGGAGGCCGAGACTATCAGATTGGGTAAAGGAGCAGGACACACCTACACAGCCTATAAGAAACACTCTCTAAATATAAACACACAGAGAGGTTAAAAGTGAAAGGATGGGGGAAAAGTGTTACCCTAAATCTAGTCAAAAGAAAGCTAGAGCTGGGTGTGGACTGTAGTTCCCACTACTTGGGAGGCTGAGACAGGAGGATCGCTGGAGCCCAGGAGTGAGGCTGACTGACAGTGATCACAACACTGCACTCCAGCCTGGGCAACAGAGCAAGACCCTGTTTCTAAATAAAAAATAAAAAAAGAAAAGCTGGAGTCTCTATGTTACTATCACACAAAGTTGATTTTAGAGCCAAGACATTACAGAAATAAATAATATTGATAAAAAGAGTCAATTTGTCAAGAGGACATAACAATTTAAAACATTTATGGATTTAATAAGACAGCTTCCTTCAAACCCACAATTACATCAAGGGTTTCTTTTCTTTTCTTTCTTTCTTTTTTTTTTTTTTTTGACAGAGTCTTGCTCTGTTGCCCAGGCTAGAGTGAGTGCCCGTGGCGTCAGCCTAGCTCACAGCAACCTCAAACTCCTGGGCTCAAGCGATCCTTCTGCCTCAGCCTCCCAAGTAGCTGGGACTACAGGCATGCGCCACCATGCCCAGCTAATTTTTTCTATATATATTAGTTGGCCAATTAATTTCTTTCTATTTACAGTAGAGACGGGTCTCACTCTTGCTCAGGTTGGTTTCCAACTCCTGAGCTCAAAGGATCCTCCCGCCTTGGCCTCCCAGAGTGCTAGGATTACAGGAGTGAGCCACCGTGCCCGGCCTACATCAAGGGTTTCAATAATCCTCTCGCAGTAACTGCTAGAACAAGGAGGAGGAACACAGTGGACAGGCGCATTGCCAACCACAGTGACCAAACGGTGCTTGCCGGCCGCTCTGGCCAGTGGCAGTCCCCCTTCTTCCCAGGGACACACGGACGTTCACCAAGACCCACCACGTTCTGGCTGGAGCATGAGGCTCAACAGTTTAAATAGGACTCAGTCAAACAAAGTGTGTTCTTTGACCACAATGAAGTAAATTGAAAATTGACACTGAAACACCCCTGGAAAGTCCCCCAAATTTGGAAACGAAGTAGCACACTTCTAAGTAACCTCTGGGTCAAAGATGAAATAAAAACGGAAATAAGTCTTCGGGAATGAGTCAAAATGAAAACATACCAAAATTTGCGGGTTGCCACAAAAGCAGCCTAGGGCTAAGTTTATAGCACCAAACACTCTATTAAAAACAAGAAAGGTGGCCGGGCACGGTGGCTCACGCTTGTAATCCCAGCACTCTGGGAGGCAGAGGCGGGTGGATTGCTCAAGGTCAGGAGTTCGAAACCAGCCTGAGCAAGAGCGAGACCCCATCTCTACTATAAATAGAAAGAAATTGATTGGCCAACTAATATATATATAAAAAGTTAGCCGGGCATGGTGGCGCATGCCTGTAGTCCCAGCTACTTGGGAGGCTGAGGCAGGAGGATCGCTTGAGCCCAGGAGTTTGAGGTTGCTGTGAGCTAGGCTGACGCCACGGCACTCTAGCCTGGGCAACAAAGTGAGACTCCGTCTCAAAAAAAAAAAACAAAAAACAAGAAAGGTTAAAAACCAATGACTCCAGCTTGCCAGCTAAGGAACCGGGAAAAGAAGAGCAAACAAAACCCAAACTAAGTAGAGGGCAGGGCAAGAAGAGCACAGTGGAGCGTAGATGTGGGAGGGCAACACAGCTGAGGGAAGGGTGGGCCGCTCACACACACACCCCCCCACAGCCCCCACAGCTCCCCAGGCCCCAGCCACCCTGGTGCTGACGCCACAGGCTCTGTTGGGGGTTCTCGGTTCCTGGGTGCTCTGCGGGGCAATACTGCCCTGAGGCCCACGTGTCTGGCCCTAACTCCCGTCCCCTCTGGTGACGGCGGGCTCCTCCAGTCTCCAAGCCCCATCCTGTGCTCACTGTTGTCATCTCTCAAGGGGTATTGTCCCCGTCCCCATCCCACCTGTTTTTCAAGCATCTCCAGAAATGTTGTTAATCCTCAAGTGAAACAAATATTTACATTTCAGTAATCCCCAAAACAATGTCCTAGAAATATCTGTGGAGCTTCATGCAATTCTCAGGCCCTCACCTGTGACCACACAGAGAGCCCCTCTCTCAGGTGAGGCACAGTGGGCTCTGGCTGGCCCATTGCTGTGCAGCCCCACCTGAAGCTCAGAGCCTGAGGTCTCTGCAGGTCTGGGCCAGAGCCCCAACCCGGCTGGATAGGGGATGTCCTGCCCAGCTCTGCCCACGAGGGGGCATGAGAGAGCAGGGAGGTTGCTAATTGCTCAGCCACCAGCTGGGGAGGTCAGGTTCCCTGGAGCCCAGGAGGGCATGTTCACACATGATGAAATCACCTGACCTGGTTCTCAGAACAGGTCCCTGTCCTTAAGTGATGCGTGACTGTCCTTGCTCTGTCCCGTCTACTGTTGCAGTTGACCCCAGTTTTGTCTTTTAGATACTGGATGCCTTGAAAGAAAGGCATTTGCAACCTGTTCCCTCAGTGCTGCCTGTGACAAGGTTTGGTTGAATAAGAGTGTCTCGTCAGCTCCTGTCTCAGAGAAGGCTGCCTGGGACACGCTGTTCTCCTGCCCCAGGACCCCCTGGCGGGGAAGGCCCGCTCCAGCCATGTGGTGCCCTTCCAGTGCGTCTCCACGCTTCAGAAGCCTGCCCCAACTCCCAGCTTGCTTTTCCTGTTGCAAGCCGTGCACCCCTCCGCTGGTGCACTCGGGGTGGGGAACACTCCTCGGGGCAGCCCTGCTGGGTCACTGCCCTGCAGTGTCTGCCAGCACCCTGCCACTGACCACCCTCTCTAGTCATCGTTGTCCCGCCATCAGGTTTGTGAGTGGCGTGGCAAGGACAACTGGGCATCCCTCTCAGCAATGGACGGCCAGGGACTGGATGCCTGGCACACCCTTGCTCGTCACCCACCTCTCAGGGCTCTCTGACTTCACAATATTTCTGAAAACAGAAGGTGGACAACACAATACTCATGGGCAATAACCGATCACTCCCCTATCTAGTTCAACAGAGAAATGAAGACTCAAGATCAGTGAAAAATATTCATGTGTTTAAAAAGTACATTCTCAGGGTGGGCCTGCACAGGGCGGCAGGCCGTTCACATCTCATTCCCTGCAGTGTCACGGGCGTTTCTGGAGCCTGCGGGTCCCTGGCTGGCTCTGATAACAACTACAGCTATGTCGCCCGGGGATGGAGACGTGCAGGACGGCAAAGGCCTGGCTCCCAAAGGGCCACAGCAGAGTGTCAGAGAAAGGTCCACTCGTGACACCGGCCTCCTGCCTCTGGGTCTGCTCAGATGCCTGGTTCCTTCTCTTGTCTGTGTTCATCAGAGGTGTTTGTTTCTTTTCTTGGTGCTTTTAAACCCTCGAGATGCACCCTGTCCAAAACAGATGGTGGAAGGTATCCTGGAATAGAAAAAGGGCTCGTATTAAATGACTGTGTTTTCCTTGCAACAAACAGCCCGATTCACAACAGCAGTCGTGCATGTTTCCTTCTTACTCTGGAATGTCCCCCTCTGTGGGCTTTCGGGACATGCAGGCTGCCCTCCTGGGCTCTGGGCAGCTCTGTTTCTGCGTCCGTCTCAGACCTGCTTCCTGTGGGAGCTTCTCTTGGCCATGGGTGCTCACTCGCTTGCTTGGAAGCGCTCAGCCGGGAGGGCCGGCTCCTGCCAGGCTCTCCGGGGCTCAAGTTTCCTGCAACCAACCAACCAACCAACCATCCAACTCGACGGAAACCCTACCTGCCCCTGGTGCCCAGGACTCACTCACAAGCCAAAGTCCAGGCAACTGCGAGAAGACCCCAAGGCACACGCAAGTTCATCTTCCTGTCTTTGGATTCTTTGGCATTTTTTCCCCATTTGTTCAACATTTCTCCCAAATTAGATTTGAAATAGACTTTAACCCAATCAGAGCAGAGTCAGTGCTGGGAAGCTCCTGGGCTGTAACCGCAGCAATCACGAGCTCTTCCCATCCCAGTGAGGACAATGAAGGGGGTGCTCCGCATTCCTGGGCTGCAGGGGTTCACGGTGTGCCAGGGGAACTGAGTTACTCTAGAGCACCCAGACCCTGAGGCTCTCATCTGCAGCAGCCAACATCCTTACCCTGTGCTACTCTCCCAGGAGAACACTGGCCCAGGGTCAGGCCTGAATTTTCACCATCAAGCACACATTTAGAACCTCCTTCAGCAAGATGCCGGTACTGACCTATGGCTGTAGGTCCACCTCCCACCCGCAGGTGCTGGGGAGGGGGCTGTGGGTTCAGAGCAGACTTCCATGGCCTCCCCTTCTGACGGCTCCCTGTCGGCCCCAAGGGTTTCGGCGGCTGTGGCCGGGCTGTGGAGGACACAGCAGTGAGCACCAGCCCCACCTGGCTCCTGCCACTCGGTTTTTCCCAGAAACAATATGGCAAGCGAGAGACTTTTTTCTTGCAAAGGTATTTTCTTACTATTTCGGCATAGTCTAGCTTCATAACACAGTTTTCAGGGTACTGGGAAAAGGAGCATGATTACAGAAAATTCATTGTTTATACAGTAAGTCCTATATTTTACAAATCTAAGTGTAACAATTACACTCTGCCTTTTGAAAATCTTAATTTTATGGTGCCACGGAGTAAATCCCTGCCCAGGTTGCCAGGTGTCCTTCATGAGCATGAGAAATTTACTGAAATTAACCAATGACTGTAAAACAGTATCCTAACACCAATGTCTCAATCCAGCATTGTAGTTTTTCTCTTTAAAAATGATCCCTCAGAAAGGAGAGAATTACTTCATACTTAAGCCCTTATAAAGTCTCTCACATTACAGTGGGTTCTCCTAATAGCTTTAGGCAGCAAAGTGCTATTGCAGAAAATTTAGCCTGAAAACAGCTGAATCAATGCAGCGTTTAGATAGTTATGAAAGTTCACCTAAAAGAATCAGTTTAAAAAAAGAGATAAGCACAACATGATTTAAAGAATTATTCCTGGTGGTATTTCCCACGGTGTACTCTAAACAGTATCGTGTTCGTAGACGAAGAGCTTTGTTGTCCAGCTCCTACGTGTACACCAGCAGGACAAGGGACAAACCAAAGGGCCCGCCGCTGGCAGGGACACACCCGCCAGTCCCTTGGTATGGAGCCCAGTGCAGCGCCCGGAAAGCCAGGCGCCCCTTCCCGTCCACTGCAGTGGTGGCTGTGTGCAGCACCACCCACTCCTGTGCAACCCACTCTGGTGGAGGGTGCCAGTGGTCAGGGTCTCAGCCACGTTAAGTGAGACAAAGATGCTGACTGTCGCATCTGAGTCCTCAGAGTCCACACATTCGAGTCTGTCCAAGGCTTTTCTAGGATCAAGGGCTGCCGTGCTGAGGCTTACCTACCCTCTGCCTTTCTGTGGCTTATCAAACCGGAAATCCGCAGGGTACAGGTGAAGCTTCACCAGGTGGTCCTTCCGGGCTTTGCTGGTCTTGAACTTCTCTGTGCAGCCTTCCACCAAGCACTGGTACTGAAACAGAGATGACCTCACCTCCACCAGCTCCACCACAACCCCCACGGCCCCCCAGCCTGCCCTGGACAGAGAGCTGCGGTGCGCTCTGACCCCTGCCCCTGCTGGACAGGATGGCGGCAGGCGTGGAGACCTCACTCACCATGTCCTGCCGCTCAGACAGGATCTGGAAGAGTGAGTCGTGCCACTCCAGGATGTGGGCATCAAGCAGGTGTCCCGAGGGGAAGGCCCGTTTGCAAAAGGAGCAGACGTTTCTGTGCAGTGTGTGGTAGTGGTGCTCGTAGTCCTCCAGGGCGTCGAACACCTGGCAGCAGCCTGCCACCTGACAGGTAAATTCGGGCACCCTGCAGAGAAGACTCGGCTCACAAGGGGGCCAGAGCTGGTGCGGCCACTTGGTCTCCCTTTGGGAGAAGTTCCCTAAAGCTCCGGATGGTTCTCTTGCCAGCCCATAGCCTCTTTTCGGGAACTTCTCATGATGCGCAATAGGCTAAGCAGGCAGCAGTGGGGTGGGCAGACGACAGCAACCAAGCGCTCCCACCTGCAGGGTCAGAGGTGTGGCCCCAGGACCTCCCTCTCCACCGCTCACCTGGGCCGTTCAGGAGCCTCAGCCACTTGCGAGAGCACGTCCTGGAGGTAGAGATGACGCTGCACGTCCCCATCCTGCAGGAGAAGCGTGCCGTGGGCGGGGTCGGGCGCCTTGCGGCCCCGCCCATGCCTTAGGCCGCGCCCCTGTGGGCTCCAGGCAGGCTCCACAGCCTTAGGCCCCTCCCACCACGGCTCCAGCCCACATCTGGCCTGAAGCCCCGCCCACCGTGGGCTCCAGCCCGCTCCATGTTTCAGGTTCCGCCCACCGCGGGCTCCGGCCCCGCCCACCGCGGGCTCCAGCCCGCTCCAGGCCTCAGGCCCCGCCCACCATGGCTCCGGGCCCGCTTTAGGCCTTAGGTCCCTCCCACCGTGGCTCCCGCCCGTCTTCTGGCCTGAAGCCCCGCCCACCGTGGCTCCGGCCCCCCTTTAGGCCTTAGGCCCCTCCCACCGTGGCTCCCGCCCGTCTTCTGGCCTGAAGCCCCGCCCACCACGGCTCCCGCCCCGCTTCAGGCCCCACCCGACACCTGCCCTCCCCTGTCACCCACGCACCTCGAAGAACTCGTGCTCCCGCGGGAAGCGTACAAGGCGCGTGGCGAAGCGGAAAGGTGCAGCACCGGCCGCGGGGTCCCGCTCCACAGGCAGCGGCTTGGCCGCCCCAGGCCCCCCCGCCAGGCGGGTGCGCAGCGCGGGGGGCAGCTGCATCGTCCCGTGCGCAGGCGGGCACAGCCTGCCGGCCACCGTCCACGAGCCGGGGGCGGCCCCGGAAGTGACGTCACCGGGTACTTCCGCCGCTGTCGGTGCTGCGCCGGGGGCTTGGCTGTGAGGCTTGCGGTGAGTTCCGTCCCGGCCCGGTGCGGCGGGCTGGGATGCGGGGCGGTGGCGCCGGGCGGGGCGGACTTGGCTTTTCCCGCGCGCTTCCTCAGGCCGCGCAGCGCCCCCGGCTACGCCGCTGGCTCTGCCTCGATGCCTTTCGTGCCCTCGCGCTCTCTGCTCCTCGCGGTCCCCGAGACTCCGACACCCTGTTCGTGTGGAGCAGAGCCGTGGTGGGTGTGGAGCGGGTCCGGGTCGTCCCAAGGTGCCCCTTCCCGGCCGGTCGGCGTCCTACAGCGGAGGTTCTAGCTCACTCGTCTCCCTCTGCCTCCTTCCCGCTCTCTCCGCCTCCCTTCCCGCTCTCTCCGCCTCCCTTCCCGCTCTCTCCGCCTCCCTTCCCGCTCTCTCCCTTCTCCCTCCCCGGTCACTCCAACCTCTTTCCCCTTCGTCTTTCTCCCTCCCCTCTCTCCCTTCTTCCGGCCTTCTCTCCCTCACCTGTTGGACTGCAACAGTCTCTGGTTCATTCTTGTTCCCTCCAAACCAGTCACTAACTGGAGCCAAAGTGATTTTTAGGAAATAATGCGTTTTATTGTAACTCTTTGCTTAAAGCCCTTGGGTGACTTCCCTTTACCTTAGTCCAAAGGCTCTTTCCTGTCCTGCCAGGGTTTGGTCTACCTTTCCAATCCCCTCATCCCATAGGCTCCCGTGAAGTGCAGGACCCTGTGCTAGGTGCTCAGGGTGCATGGGTGAAGAAATCAGAAGAGGTCCTTGCCAACGTGGAGCCTACAGCAGGAGAGACAAATGTTTGCCTGGAGAGTTAACTAATTAAGGTTGGGCATGATGGCTCCTGCTTATATATAATCCCAACACTTTGGGAGGCCAAGGTGGGAGGATTGTTTGAGGCCAGAAGTTGAAGACCATATTGGGCAACATAGTGAGACCACGTCTCTACAAAAAGTAAAAATTAGCAGGGCATGGTGGTGCACCTGTAGTCCCAGCTACTCGTGAGGCTGAGGCAGGAGAGTCATCTGAGCCCAGGAGTTTGAGGCTACAGTGAGCTGTGATCATGCCATTGCACTCCAGCCTGGGAAACAGAGAGAGACCCTGTCTTAACACAAAAAGAGTTACCTAATTAAAATGGTGATTCTGAAGGGAATCACAGTACCCTTGAGATCTACTGCAGAGGATGGACACATGTGGCTTACAGAGGCTCTAACTTTCCACGTCTCTCCGAAAATATTTTATTATTTAGCAGGACTTATACACATGTGCATATCAAAGAAAAGGGGGTACTGTTTCTTTAAGATATTAAAAAAATAAAAACTTTCTTATTTCCTTCTAGAAATGAAGGTTTGTGGCTATGTTGCCAACCAGTCATTTTTAGGCATAAGAAGAGCTTCTGTACAGATTCAGACTTTTTCATCTCTCATACAGTCACATGCCACAGAAGGGCGTTTCGTCAACCATAGACCTCATATAGGATAGTAGTCCTATAAGCCTACAATGCCATGTTTTTCCTATACCTCTTCTATGTTTAGATGTGTTGGATACACAAATACTTACCATTGTGTTGCAGTTGCCTGCAGTATTCATTACAGTAACATGCTGCATACAGGTTTGTAGCCTAGGAGCAACAGGCTGTGCCATGTAGCCTAGGTGTATGCAGTAGGCTATACCACATAGGTTTGTGTAAGTGCACTCTATGATGTTTGCACACAATTGCCTAACAACATATGTTTCAAAACGTATGTACTTTTTTCTTTGTAAAAGCATTTGGGCTATTGACATTTTTCACAAATTGTACAATGTTTTTTAAGCCAGCTTATACAATTAGCTTTGAACTCTCAACAGAGGCCCTTTTTCACTTCTTTTGTTTTAATCAATTGCTGTTCACCAGGAGCGTGTGCCCACCTCACTCATCGTGGAAAGGGATGTCTGTGCCATTGCTTCCTTGTCACTGGTCCCTGCAGTAGCTCATACTCAGTGCAAGAAAGAGGTAAGTCCTGTGTAGTCAGACATTGGGTTTGTCCATTTGTGGTGACTAATAGAAATGAGAGCTCAGGATCATCAAAAAGATCAAGTGAGCTGTTACAGCTAAATGTTCTTCAAAGTTGTATTTTTCAGTGGGCACTGTTGGCATTTTGGCAGGACAGTTCTGTTGATGTTTGGCATCCCTAGCCCTTGCCCACTAAATACCAAGTGCACCTTCCATGTGACAACCATATCGCCCCAGTACATTTCCAGAGGTCCCCTGGGGGAAGTACTCGTGCAGGAGAGAGCTGCTTCCTATAAGCACTGTCCCCATGTTCTCATAGCAGGCTCTTGTAGGATTAACACTTACAATGTGGTAATGTCTGTGCTTCTGTTTCTACCACAAATGTAAGGTTTCCTGAAGATAGTTTTAATATTCATGTAGATGCTCTTTCTTCAGAAGTAGCTGTCTCTCCCCACTTCTGCTTGGTAGGGGTGCTTTGTCTCTGTGGCAAATGCTCTTGCCATCTAGCAGCACCCCAGTGGTGCTCAGTCCTCAGTTACAAGAATACCTGCAGTCTATAGGAAGCTGGTGGCATGCAAGTAAAACCAACAGCCCTTGTGTTCAAAGAGGCCAGCAGTTGGAAAGTTTTGTGTCGTCTTTTCTGTTTTGTGAGGAATTAGCAATGCCTCATTCAGGGCTACCTACGACTGTTCAGAAGGTAACTGGTAGTTTAGGATGCTGTTGGTGATTTGGATCAAACTTTCCTTTTGTTAAACTGTTTCCCAGATAAGTGAGAGCACTTCCAGGTGGGTGGCCTTATGTAGTCACAGCAGCAAGACCTGTCCTCCTTTCCTAGTAACAGGTGTGCAAGAATGTACTACCTGAGAGCCCTTTGGTGCTACGAAGAGTGATTTTACTTAATCTCCACTACAACTGTAGGAGGATGTTACTCTGCCTTTGCATAGGAAGCTTAGAGAGGACAAGCCCCTTGTCCGGGGTCTCCAGCCCAGAAGCAGCCACATCAGAGTCCATCTACCTGGGTCACCACAGGCTGTGCCCTGCTGGTCTTGCATTCTTGGCTGTAGTTGCCGTGAGCACCTCCTGATTCAAAAGCACACATGCTAGCAACTTCTGCATGCGTGCAGAAGTTATCATTCTGATTTCATTTTGGAGGTAGCCTGCCTCTGACTAGCATTGACGCTCACATACTGCAAAACGGTTTTCTGTCACACAAGATTAGAGTCTTGCTCTCTTACTGTGGAGTTCCAAGTTAATACTCACTAGTGAATTGGCATATTATGGGAGTGTGTGCTGAGTCTTCTGTACGTGATGTTTTGTTTAACTCATGGCTTGTCCTCACTGGAGACATTAGTACAGTAGTTGTCGACCTTTCTTGGGTCACAGAGCCTTGGAGAATTCCTTGAAAGACCATCTCAGAAAATTCACAAATGATTTTGCCTATGATTTCCAAGGGTTCATCTACAGTTCATGGATCCCAAATGAAGAACACCTGTGTAGGTAAATTGTAGTGTTTATGTGAAGCCTTATGTAAAGTTTGCTTCTGTTTATTCTTGAACCTATGGCAAATTGTCCGTGTGCATTTGTATCGATGTCCTTTTATTAGCACTCTGACAGTGGCTGACAGCCAGTTATTAGTGGGAGAGTGGAAGTCCCCACGCCACCTGCTGCTGCCCACTGGGACTGTCTGTTATGGATTTGATCTTGTGTGCTGTATGTCTAATCTCAAGACCCTGGGACAGCTAGTCCGCAGGGCCGGGGAGCTGGACGGCAGCTCTATGCAGCTCAGATGCATAGGGAACATACGTTGGTCTTTCACAAGAAATCTTACCAAAAGTGTATTCGTAGGTAACCAAGCTTGGGCAGGACGAGGAGGTGTCTCAGGTACCAGAGTGCAGAGAAGGCACGGAGCTGGAGGTGTGAGCGTGGGTGCAGCTGGACAGGTCAGAATTGAGAGCCGTGGGTGGGACTGTCTGTGGGAGGACAGGGCGATGGCCTAGGCCTCCAGTCCAGAGCCTCCAGTGCAGACCCTCCAGTGCAGATCCTCCAGTGCAGACCCTCCAGTGCAGACCCTCCAGTGCAGACCCTTAGTGCAGATCCTCTAGTGCAGACCCTCTAGTGCAGACCCTCTAGTGCAGATCCTCCAGTGCAGACCCTCTAGTGCAGACCCTCTAGTGCAACCTCTATTGCAGATCCTCCAGTGCAGACCCTCCAGTGCAGATCCTCTAGTGCAGAGCCCCAGTGCAGACCCTCTAGTGCAGATCCTCCAGTGCAGACCCTCTAGTGCAGACCCTCCAGTGCAGACCCTCCAGTGCAGATCCTCCAGTGCAGACCCTCCAGTGCAGACCCTCCAGTGCAGATCCTCCAGTGCAGACCCTCTAGTGCAGACCCTCCAGTGCAGACCCTCCAGTGCAGAGCCTCTAGTGCAGACCCTTAGTGCAGACCCTCCAGTGCAGACCCTCCAGTGCAGATCCCTCCAGTGCAGATCTCCAGTGCAGACCCAGTGCAGACCTCTAGTGCAGATCCTCAAGTGCAGATCCTCTAGTGCAGACCCTCTAGTTGCAGACCCTTCCAGTGCAGACCCTCCAGTGCAGACCCTCTAGTGCAAACCCTCCAGTGCAGACTCCAGTGCAGGACCTCCATGCAGACCCTCCAGGGCAGACCCTCCAGTGCAGGACCCTCCAGTGCAGATCCTCCAGTGAGACCCTCTAGTGCAGATCTCCAGTGCAGACCCTCCAGTGCAGATCCTCCAGTGCAGAGCCTCTAGTGCAGGCCTCTATGCAGACCTCTAGTGCAGACCCTCCAGTGCAGATCCTCCATGCGATCTTCCAGTGCAGACCCTCTAGTGCAGATCTCTAGTGCAGACCGTCTAGTGCAGATCCTCTAGTGCAGAGCCTCTAGTGCAGATCCTCCAGTGCAGATCCTCCAGTGCAGAGCCTCCAGTGCAGAGCCTCTAGTGCAGACCCTCTAGTGCAGATCCTCCAGTGCAGACCCTCCAGTGCAGAGCCTCTAGTGCAGACCCTCTAGTGCAGAGCCTCCAGTGCAGATCCTCTAGTGCAGAGCCTCCAGTGCAGAGCCTCCAGTGCAGAGCCCTCTAGTGCAGATGCTCCAGTGCAGATCCTCTAGTGCAGATCCTCCAGTGCAGATCCTCTAGTGCAGACCCTCTAGTGCAGACCCTCTAGTGCAGAGCCTCTAGTGCAGAGCCTCTAGTGCAGATCCTCCAGTGCAGACCCTCCAGTGCAGACCCTCCAGTGCAGGACCCTCCAGTGCAGATCTCCAGTGCAGAGCCTCCAGTGCAGGGCCTCTAGTGCAGAGCCTCTAGTGCAGACCCTCTAGTGCAGATCCTCCAGTGCAGACCCTCTAGTGCAGACCCTCTAGTGCAGACCCTCTAGTGCAGAGCCTCTAGTGCAGATCCTCCAGTGCAGACCCTCCAGTGCAGACCCTCCAGTGCAGATCCTCTAGTGCAGATCCTCCAGTGCAGACCCTCCAGTGCAGACCCTCCAGTGCAGATCCTCCAGTGCAGACCCTCCAGTGCAGATCCTCCAGTGCAGACCCTCTAGTGCAGATCCTCTAGTGCAGATCCTCCAGTGCAGATCCTCCAGTGCAGATCCTCCAGTGCAGATCCTCTAGTGCAGATCCTTCCAGTGCAGACCCTCTAGTGCAGACCCTCCAGTGCAGACCCTCCAGTGCAGATCCTCCAGTGCAGACCCTCTAGTGCAGATCCTCCAGTGCAGACCCTCTAGTGCAGATCCTCCAGTGCAGATCTCCAGTGCAGACCCTCCAGTGCAGACCTCTAGTGCAGACCCTCCAGTGCAGATCCTCCAGTGCAGATCCTCCAGTGCAGACCCTCCAGTGCAGACCCTCCAGTGCAGATCCTCCAGTGCAGATCCTCTAGTGCAGATCCTCTAGTGCAGACCCTCCAGTGCAGATCCTCCAGTGCAGACCCTCCAGTGCAGACCCTCCAGTGCAGACCCTCCAGTGCAGACCCTCCAGTGCAGATCCTCCAGTGCAGACCCTCCAGTGCAGATCCTCTAGTGCAGAGCTTCAGTGCAGACCTCCAGTGCAGACCCTCTAGTGCAGATCCTCCAGTGCAGATCCTCCAGTGCAGAGCCTCCAGTGCAGATCCCTTAGTGCAGATCCTCCAGTGCAGACCCTCTAGTGCAGACCCTCCAGTGCAGACCCTCCAGTGTAGATCCTCCCAGTGCAGATCCTCCAGTGCAGATCCTCCAGTGCAGACCCTCTAGTGCAGATCCTCCAGTGCAGACCCTCTAGTGCAGATCCTCCAGTGCAGATCCTCCAGTGCAGACCCTCCAGTGCAGACCCTCTAGTGCAGACCCTCCAGTGCAGATCCTCCAGTGCAGGACCCTCCAGTGCAGACCTCCAGTGCAGATCCTCCATGCAGATCCTCTAGTGCAGATCCTCTAGTGCAGACCCTCCAGTGCAGATCCTCTAGTGCAGATCCTCCAGTGCAGACCTCCAGTGCAGACCCTCCAGTGCAGACCCTCCAGTGCAGATCCTCCAGTGCAGATCCTCCAGTGCAGACCCTCCAGTGCAGATCTCTAGTGCAGAGCCTCTAGTGCAGATACTCTAGTGCAGATCCTCCAGTGCAGATCCTCCAGTGCAGATCCTCTAGTGCAGATCTCCAGTGCAGACCCTCCAGTGCAGAATCCTCTAGTGCAGAGCCTCTAGTGCAGATACTCTAGTGCAGATCCTCCAGTGCAGACCCTCCAGTGCAGACCCTCCAGTGCAGATCCTCTAGTGCAGAGCCTCTAGTGCAGATCCTCTAGTGCAGATCCTCCAGTGCAGATCCTCCAGTGCAGATCCTCCAGTGCAGACCCTCCAGTGCAGATCCTCCAGTGCAGATCCTCCAGTGCAGATCCTCCAGTGCAGATCCTCCAGTGCAGACCCTCCAGTGCAGATCCTCCAGTGCAGACCCTCCAGTGCAGATCCTCTAGTGCAGATCCTCTAGTGCAGATCCTCCAGTGCAGATCCTCCAGTGCAGATCCTCCAGTGCAGATCCTCCAGTGCAGACCCTCTAGTGCAGACCCTCTAGTGCAGACCTCTAGTGCAGACCCTCTAGTGCAGCATCCTCCAGTGCAGAGCCTCCAGTGCAGATCTCTAGTGCAGACTCTCTAGTGCAGACCCTCCAGTGCAGAGCCTCCGGTGCAGACCCTCCGGTGCAGAGCCTCCGGTGCAGAGCCTCCGGTGCAGAGCCTCCGGTGCAGACCCTCCGGTGCAGACCCTCCGGTGCAGACCCTCCGGTGCAGATCCTCCGGTGCAGATCCTCCGGTGCAGACCCTCCGGTGCAGACCCTCCGGTGCAGAGCCTCCGGTGCAGAGCCTCCGGTGCAGAGCCTCCGGTGCAGACCCTCCGGTGCAGAGCCTCCGGTGCAGAGCCTCCGGTGCAGAGCCTCCAGTGCAGACCCTCTAGTGCACATCCTCCAGTGCAGAGCCTCTAATGCAGATCCTCCGGTGCAGAGCCTCCAGTGCAGAGCCTCCAGTGCAGATCCTGGACCCCCAAGGGGGTGACGTCTGACAGCTGGGACCAGAAAGCTCAGTCCAGCAGCTGAGGGGAGCAGCGGAGCAGTGCCCTACTGGCCCTGGGCCCTGTGTGGGGGAGTCACAGGGAAAAAGGAGAGCCAGATCCATGTTTACATTGCCCACAGGGTGCCAGGTCCCGAGCTGTGGCATGAGCCTGGAAATTGGACTGGGGGCAGGGAATGAACTCTGAGATGATAGCAAAGCCCCCCCACCCCCAGGGCCCCACACTGAGGGAGAGGATGGCCAGGAAGAGGCTGTTGTGGTGTTGGGGGAGGGGCCCCAGGCAGGGCCAGGGCAAGGCAATGATTTGGTTTGTCAGAGGCCTGGCCTTGGCCTTTGCTTGTTTAAAAAATGTTTTATTGGGGGAGGGGGGCATGGGCAATCTAAGTAACCTTAACACTTGTACCCCCATAATACGCTAAAATAAAATTAAAAAAAAGAAAAAATGTTTTATTTATAGGATTTCAATTTTATAAACAGCTCTCCTCTTACCTTTAGGAGAACACATCGTGATGTTGGTGTCTTAGAGCTGAAACTATGAGTGAGTTTCGGATTCACCATGATGTCAATGAACTGCTCAGCTTGCTGCGTGTCCATGGAGGGGATGGGGCCGAGGTCTATATCGACCTGTTGCAGAAGAACAGGACCCC